TGAAAAATTTTAGGGCTTTTGATATGGACCAATACGTTCTCATTTAAGAGGGCTATACCAATTTCCACTCTTATTATAAAGTTAATACACATAATAACAGTATTAAAATATTATTGATTATTGAACTCTTATGTGAAAAACACTGTGCTCAGTACATAGTGAGTGGCTGAGCCAGGCTGGACTCTGGAACCTGCTGCCCTTTTAATTATTTAGCTATAATGATTATCATCATCAGCATATGAGAATGTCTTATTTACTTTTTTTTTGCTTTTTCGGAATTCCTCTTAACAAGGGGTTTTAATCTCAATTTCTTTAAACACCACTGATATGAGTATCTTTTCAAAATTTAGAGTCCATTTGTGTTTCTTCCTTTATGAGTTTCTCTTTTATGTCCTTTATCTTCTATTGCTGTAGTATTTTCCTTTTGCTTATTGATGGCTAAGAGCTATGTATATTTATTTATTTATTTAATTTTTTTGTGTGAGGAAGATCAGCCCTGTGCTAACATCTGCCAATCCTCCTCTTTTTCCGCCGAGGAAGACTGGCCCTGGGATACCATCCGTGCCCATCTTCCTCCACTTTTTATGGGACTCCGCCACAGCATGGCTTGCCAAGCTGTGCATGGGTGTGCACCCGGGATCCGAGCACGCGAACCCTGGGCCACAGCAGCGGAGTGCGTGCACTTAACCACTTGTGCCACTGGGCCGGCCCCACGAGCTATGTATATTTCAAAAATAATATTCCTTGTCATATATATTGAAAACATTTTCTTAGTCTCCATTCTCTATTTTGTGCTTAAGGGAGTTCATTTTTCTGGATGCTCTCATGTTACCTACATGTTATCGTGTAGACCACACACTCCAGGGACATCTTTTTACCTCTGCTCGGGACATGCTACTCCACTAAGGAGCTAACATCACTTAATCGGTACTCAGGAGTTCTTGCGATGGTCCATTTTTCCCACATTGAGGAGGCAGAGAATGGGGGAGAGCTAAATAAGGACATGCCTTGAGATTAGGACGAAAAATGTTGTCACAATGGTTGGCCATGGCAGCATTCTCTATTGCATACAATAGTCCACATATTGCAATATTAGGCCTGATTTTGCCAGCCTTTATAACTATTTTCATTGTAACCCATGCAAACCTATTAGATTTCTTCTGGGAATCCCTGGACAAAATTTGTATTTGTTTTTCTGTGAAGTGCAGTATGTTACACTCCAGGGCAGTTTTTGTGATTATACTACAGCTGGTCTAAGCTTATAAATGATACATATCTCAGTTGAATATTGGTTTAAAATGGTCTTTCTTAGACCCAACCTCATAGACTTACAATGCCAGAACACTGGTTTTTCAGCATAATGGATTAAGGAAATAATAGTTGAGGAGACAGAGAAAGGGAATGGTGAATTATCATGCTTGTGTAAAAAATAGAGGTTTGGATTTAGTTGTTTGAGACCTCTAAAGTCTTATTTGGTGTGCTATTTTAATGTCCTGAATGGTAAACTAATGGTCTGGGATATTAAATATTTCTTTCAAAAATATCAAATGTATTATCCTGGAAACATTTGCTTTTGTTGTTTAGTTGAGTTTTTTTCTATTTTTTTGTTTTTTAGAAGACAAACGCAGAAAAATTTATTGAAGAAAATCAAAAGAGACAGCTAGCGAAGCTAGAAAAAAGAGAGGAAGAACGATGGAATAACTTGTCCCTGCATATTGAAAAGGAAATTAAAGAAAATCCTAAATCTGGAATAAAAAGACTAGACAACTTTCTTCAAATATGCTCTGTTAAATCTGTAAAATTTACTGCAGAAATGGCAGGAATGGATGCCTGTTTCAAATTATGGATGGAAAACTGTTTAAAAACAGGTATATAAATATATTCATTTCAGAAATTTTTTTAAGATTAAAAAATCAGTTAGAACAGAGCAAAAGAATTGGTATTGGGTACAGATTCCGAATCTTCTATCCTGTGCTGACTTTGGGAACTCTATTTGATGTGTAAAGAATAAGAAGATTTCTTTTGATCCGTAATACCGTCATGATTATTTGTATATGTGATAGGTATTGGTGGATAGATTCCATTTGAAATTCAATGCAGCAAACAGTTCTTCAAGGTCAACCATGAGCTGAGTACCTTTTAGGTACCCATGGGGCTTCCAAACAGAAGAGCATGGGCCTTGCTCTGAAGGAGATTAAGGATCAGTCTCTCAAGGGACTCTGGCATATTCTGAACTAACTGTAACATAGTGCGATATCCACAACCAAAACAGCGTACAGCTGGTCCTCCGTATCCCTGGGTTCCACGTCCATGGATTCAACCAACCGAGGTTCAAAAGGCCTATGATGGTTGTCTCTGTACTGAACGTGTACAGATTTTTGTCTTCTCATTATTCCGTAAACAATACAGTATAACAACTATTACACAGTATTAGGTATTATAAGTAATCTAGAGATGATTTAAAGTACAAGGGAGGATGTGTGTAGATTATATGCAAATACTACACCATTTTATATAAGGAACTTGAGCATCCGGGAATTTTGGTATCTGCAGGAGTCCTGGAACCAATCCCCCAAGGATGCCGAGAAATGACTGTATAGATATGTTGTGTGGATATTACACGTAAGAAATTGAGGCTCCAGGAGAACAAATTATGTGGCCAAATTTCATTGACAGAGCAAGGATTTTAATATAACACTCTTACTCCAAAATATACACACAAATTAAATAATTAGTAAATTGGAGCACAACAGTGTTGTGGATGAGGGCAAGAGAGTAAACATTTCTGATTGAAGGGAAGACGAAAGATATTTAGTTCTTAATTGTGGTCACAGGAAAGCAAATATTAAAAGAGTAAATATGGAATGGCCATCATGTTTCTAAAAAAGTCAATTCAGCCCATCCTCCATATTAATCCTTATGATTGAATAATAACAGCTGCCATTATTATATCATTTTATATGGATTATTTTGTTTAATCTTTATAATAACCATATGAGGTGAGATCTATTATTATTATCCCCATTATAGCTGTAAAGAAAATGAGGCTTAGAGATGTAACTTTCCAAGTTCCTAAGTCAAGCACAGGCAAGTTAAATTTGAATTTCAGATAAAAAATGATATTTTTTAGTATAAGTATGTGCCATGCAATATATATCCCAAACTAGGTCTCCTGTATTTTTATTTGCTAAGCTGGCAACTCTACTCTCACTCAAGAGCCCACACTCTTCACTGCTATGCAGTACTGGTCATTATGAGTTCCTCAATTATTGTGAGTGATTCATATAAAAACGCTTTTTTTAATCCTGCAATAAAATTGTCAGCTTTTGGGGTTTCAACATTTTGCCTATCTTAAGTTATGAACGTCAATGTTTTATTTCAACAGAAGCAGAATCCAGAGATATAAAGCATAATAATTAACTTGATGAAAAGGATTCACATAATCCATGAAAAATATTCAGAACTGTTACGAAATACACATCGACGAAAATTAGCCAGATATCTAAGATATATTGGATTTGACAACTTGGCACACTCAGTATGTCCTCAGGTAGATGGTATAGAAAATATTACATGACATTCATATATATGAGGATGTATGTGTGTGAAGTATTTTATGGAATGTATTCAGGATTAATGTATATTAGATTAAGTAAATGATTAGCCATGTATAGACACTGATCTAATATTTTTTATAGACATGTATTTACCTAGAATAAATGTTTCATTTGTACCAAGGGTACTGTGGTCTGAATGTCTGGGACCCTCCAAAATTTATGTTAAAATTCTAAGCCCCAGAGTGATGGTTTTTGGAGGTGGGGCCTTTGGAAGGTGATTAGGTCATGAGGGTGGAACCCTCATGAATGAGATTAGTGCCCTTATGAAAGATACCCCAGAGAGCTAGCTCATCCTTTCACCATGTGAGATTACAGTAAGAAGATGGCCATCTAGGAGGAAGCTCTCACTAGACACCAAATCTTTGGGTGCCATGATCTTGGGCTTCTCAGCCTTCAAAACTGTGAGAAATAAATGTTTATTGTTTGTAAACCACCCAGTTTATGGTATTTTTGTTGTAGCAGCCCAAATGGACTAAAACACAGGAGCTCTCTATCTTAGAACAAACTCTTACCAAAGCCCACAGGGCCCTACATAACTCGTCCCTGGTCACCTCTCTGTTCCGATTTCCAACCATTCTATTTGTTGAGTGAACAGGGTTCCTTTTTGTCTCAGAGTATTGCATCAGCTATTTCTTCCATATGAATGTTTATTCCCTCAGATCTTAACATGGCTTACTCCTTTGGTTGTTAAGGTTTTAGATGAAACATCATCTTATCAAAGAAACATTTATGGCTGGCTTGAGACCATCTAATCTCAAATAGCATTTCCTCCACTCCTCTCACCACCCATGAAGTCACCAAAAAATTTCCTTATTTCTCTTTCTTAACAGCATGTCACTATCTGAACTTCTTTGTTTGTTTTGTTCATTTGTTTCTGTTTGTTTCTCAAAAGTAGAGTGTAATTCCCATAGAAGCAGGGCCTTTCTCTCTGTTTCTGCTATGCCTCTTATGCAGTAAGTTTAAAATATCTGTTCAACAAATAGAAGGAAGGAAGGAATAAAGAAAGAAGTGAAGGGTGAAGGGAAGAATTCTCCTGCAGATGTGATTGCTGTCAGTAAATTGTGTCTGTTTATCTGGAAGATTTCTGAAGACTTCTGGAAAGAATTAAAATTTATCCTCAGAGAAATGGATCAACTTAATTTTGTTTTTTTCTAGGAAAATTTTACTTATGATTATTTCTATTGAATATTCTTACATATACTAACTCCTTTAAACTTCCCATTTAATTGTCTTCAGCTGTTACTTCAAAAGAATCTGTTTGAAGAGAAAATATTTTTTAAGTCAAAATATCTTTCCAAGTACTGACTTGAGCACCATAAAGACAGTACACTTAGAAACAGGGCAGCTCTACCCGTGCTGTTGCTTAGTTTTGTTCAAGTAGAGATGCTTTCTGTTAGTGGAGGAATGGAAGGGGTACATGGAGAGGACATCAACTCAGATGACTGGCGAGAAAGAGGAGGCCTAGCTAGCCTTCCACTTCCTCCTGAACAAGTGCTTCCTTTAAGGGCTCTGTAACGTTTGTGAGTCTTCATACTGACCCACCACAGAGATCCAGCCTTTTGCTAGTTTGCCCATTCCTGAAGAGTGCTAACAGGATCCATAAATCCTTCCTAGCTGCATCTTGCTCCCATATTCTCAGGATGACTTTGGGCCACTCTTTGACAATCTGTAGGATTTCTCTGGAGATCTTGAGGCCAGCTTTCCCAGATGGCTTTTGTTTTCCCCATTACACTTCACATCCCGCGTAGAAATAGCCCTGTATCTTGATTACTCAAGTGCCATATCCAAAGTTCAATCGGCATATTTAACAAGGCTTTTGAAGTCTTGTGGCTATAGAAATGAATTACACTGCAGAAAAATATGTTAATGCAGAATGTGCATTGAGTTCATAGTCCAAATCCAACCATAGTATGCACTAGAGACCCCTTTCTTTGGTTGTTCTATCCCTATTTCATATTGCAAGAGTATATATTTTATTTCCCACAGAAGGAGACCTATGTTTCCCCACTCCTGTGAGAGACCTGAGAAACTGGAAGAAAACAGTTTTCCTAAAACAAACTCACCAGCTCTAGAAAAACAATTCTCTCTCTCTTAAAAAAACAAAACAAAACAAAAAACTTGATGATGATGATGGACAGAAATCTAGCTCCCCACTGTTTCCAACTGCTCCAGATTTGAAATAGGATATTTGCTTTATTATTCCTTGACCAAAACTACCATTACAGTTTTTTCTTTTTTTCTTAAACAAGAAATAAACAGAAAATTTTTAGAAATTAATAGAAAATGGCAATTTTTAAATGGAGTTTTTCCTGCTTCAAGCCATCAATGTTTCGAAACATGTTTTGTGGTTGATTCTCAACCAGAACACCTCAACATATAAATTTATGTTTCCCATGCTTTGCTAATATTATCATAATCAAGTGTTATCAGAACTTGAAGAATAGAGGCTATGTGAAATACATGAATTTCTTTTGATGTTGGGTTCCTTAGTGATAAGAGTTGTTTACCCACTGAGTAGAATTCTTTGAGTAAAATAATTTTTAAGATAATATGTACTAATTATATAGATCCTAATAAGAATATTTTCTTTACCAAAGATTTCCTTTTAAGATTGGGAAGATTTCCTTAATGGAAACACAATTTTTATTGTGTGTGTGTGAGTTGTTCATATTTAACAATTATCGAAGGTTACATTGATTTGTAATTAAAAGATTAATTTCATATTGCATTTTACTTATATTATTATGGAACATGGTACTGCCACATAAAATAACCTTCAAAAAAATTATGGTAAATATATAGTATCTATTTCCCGTGTATCAGAATTGACAGCTAGAATGAAATATTACTCTCCTTTGTTTACTCTGAAATTGGGTTATACAATTTAAGACTTGTAAGATATTGAAAGAAACATGAAATAATAATCTTATTGAAGCAAAACGAACTACAATATGATTGATAATAATTTTCTTGCCCAGAGTCAAAATTGTAAAATAGTATGAAAGTCTAATACGTAATGCTCATTTTAGGTGGAGAAATCAAGTACTGAGAAGGATATTTCTAAATATTCAGTTCAGATGGGAGCAGCTCGGTTTCAGTTAACATACATGGGACCTTACTTATTTCAAGAAGAAAGAAGTGATCCAGATCCCAGGGTGCATCATTTTATACCAGACACATGGCAGGTATTTATTAAAAAGATCTGCAGCCTGGAAAAGTGAAGACAGTTGATGGAAACAGTTGGTTCAGATCTCATTGCGGGCAACAAATTTTGGAAATGTAAATCATTATAGAATGCAATATAATGACAGTGAAAATAAATCATTTCTTGACCTAAGAGATAAAAGAACACAGCAAAGAGTCAGTTGAAATGAAAAAATATTGGTTCTATTAAATCGTAGTGCCTGGATTAAAACTAGGCACTCTAACCCTAGTTTGACTGCTCTTAACCATTACACTATGTAATTATCATATACATCCACTTAATTTCCTGTCTCAGATATAGTGCCTGATGTTTAATGATACATATTTGGCAAGAGTTTACTGTTTTTTTAAAAGTAGTGGTGCTTTCAGATTGTCCAAATATTAAATAGCAGATTCATTCATAATGTATCATGATATATCATAAACATATGGTCTATTATATGTATATTTTTTTGGAAAATCTGTCCCTTTCTACCTTATTCATTTGCTGACCCTTAATTTATGAACAGAAAAAATCAGAATTATAAAGAAAAGCATATTTTGGTAATTCTGAGTTCAGCCTGAGGTTCGCTAACTCAAGCTAAAAAGAATGCAGAAAGCCAGGCTGCATGGTATCCTGGGCAGGCCCCTTGCAATGATATCTGTTTTATTAGGATATTTTTACCCAAGTTTAGGTGAGTAGTTTTGTAGGAGAGTTGAGGTATGGTTGAGTTATTTCCAAATAACAGAAAATGGTGGTTCCCTTAAGTTACTGCCATCTTGAATACTAGTATGTCTCGGAAGGAACTGTGGATACTAATTCGCAACTTAGAAATAGTTGACATTAAATTAAAATTTGACAGTACATACGTATTTTCAAAATGAAATGTGATTTTTTTTTTTAATCTAGAGAGAACTTCTTGATGTTGTAGATAAAAATGAATCTGCTGTGATTGTTGATCCCACCTCATCAGGGAAAACCTATGCGTCTTACTACTGCATGGAGAAAATTCTGAGAGAGGGCAATGAGGGGGTGGTTGTATATGTTGCTCCAACAAAGGTATTGCATCCATCTGACACTATATATCTTACAGTATTTTCCTCAATTGTAGTTTGTGTCGTTAGTCCTAGGGAAGCACACAGTGTACAGGCTCCAGCCTCGTGGTCATGGGTTTGAGAGTTTATGTGCTGTGTGACCTTGAGCTGATTTCTTACCTTAGTTTCTCCACCTACGAAAAGGGGATAAATGCTTACTTCATACTATTGTTCTAAGCATTAAGTGAGATGATGTATGTAAAGCATCTAATATGCTGTCTGGATGTAGACAATGATCAATATGTGGTACCATTCACAATTATTTTTTATTCATTTTATTGCTTAAAACTTCGTAGGTCCAGCACTTATTAAAAGACAGGATTTGACACTTTTGAGAATTTTGCTAAAGGAAAATATTTGATAACTGTACCAGGATTACATGGCTTAGAGCATAGACAAGTTCATGTGAGAGAGAGGGAGAGGGAGAGCAGCTACTCTTAGTTTTGCCCCCTCTGGGGTTGGATAAATGCTCTGTGGAATAACCCCTGATTATTCCAAGTGCTAGAGGCTTCTTCTTGTACAGCAACCTGTGTAAAATAAAGTCAAGATCTTGACAAAATCAGAATTTTTCTCTTCATCTAGAAGGGATTTGTGGTATTCCTTCCTCTCACTTTTCCTAGGAGAATATTTACTTGCAGGCCTTAAAGATACACTGAGAGAAGAGATTCAGAATTCTAGTGTTGAGAGAGATCACCTCTATCGTATGATCCAGGCCTCACACTTTACAGATGAGGAAATTGAGGCTTAGTGAAGTTAAAAAATGTGCCCATCATTGGATAGCCAGTTAGATTTTTTAATAAATAATCATTGTCTGATTTCACCTGTGTGTGTGTATATATATATATATATATCACATATATATCACATTTATGTGGCATAGATTGTTGTTTATCGTTTCTAGCTATCACATCGTTAAGCACTGTGTGATATATTACACATTAAGAAAAACTTTAAAACTTTGAAAACTTTAAAACCAGTAGGAAACATTTGGTGCAAAGTAATTCTTTTACTAAGAAAGAGTTATATAAAATTGGTACTCCACTTTTTTGCATGTAAATTGTTTCAGACATTGGTCTACTGTAAACAAATTTTGCAGTGTTGTCAATGATTACTGAATAGCAGATTATGTCTTTTACAACTTAAGGCTCTTGTTAATCAAGTGGTGGGAGTTGTCTGCGATTTATTTACCAAAGCACTGCCAGAAGGATTAGTGGTGTGTGGAGTTTTTACAAGAGATTACCGTCATGATGCCTTGAATTGTTAGGTACATCACAGACATGTACACATAATGAATAATAACACATTATGGCATGCCAGGAGGAGCTTCAAGGTTTTAATGTGAAGATAAACTAAGTCCACAATTACCCTGACAAACATATTTATATTTGAACAGATTATATGATTTTTCTTATATAGTAATTTGGTCAACTTTCAAATAATTATATTTTCTATACCAAGTAGAATGATTTTCTTTTCTGAAATTTCAACATGAGGAAGCAGCTTCCTTCAATAGTGATGGTTTCAAATTGTGATGATTTTATATTCTCAATATACTAGGCGGGACAATATTTCTTAATGAAATGAGCTTAACTCCTTTTGAATGCATCAATAGCAACGTACATCTGTTACATATATTTGCTTTATTTTTCCACAAATGAGATCATTGTTTTAATGGAAATGTCAATATGAACATATTGTGTCATCTAAAATATTTTATTAATGTTTAAAAGTTAAAGCTTGAGCTTTTTAAAAAAATCAAGTCAATGGTTCCCTAATTCTTTTTAACAGATATTGGTGACAGTGCCTCAGTGTTTGGAAATACTCTTGCTATCACCTCATAATGAAAAATGGGTGAAAAGAATGAGATATGTCATATTTGATGAGGTATGCCACCTTTCATTACAATTACCCCAAGTAAATAGTTTTATGTATATAAAAAAATCTGTAATTGATGCATTTTAATAAAATGGCATTTATATAAATAGTTATTCAAATGAATATTAATTCAGTTTATGGAGGGGGTAGACTTTATGTGTTGGTGGTAAAAGATAGATCTGGAAGGAGATGGGTATGGGAAAAATGGAAAAAATTCTAGATTAAGAGTGATAGTAGCAGAGGAAAAATATCCCAGAAATCATTAGACACACCATAACTAATTAGCAATAGATTTATTTTTTAGCCAATGAACTTTTATCCCACTGAACCAACTGTCTTTTAAGGGGTACTTTCTCATTTCCTATCACCAGGTGCACTGATGGCTAAAATTAGACATGTTTTCTCTTTTGCTGGGTAAAAAAATGCACTATTCTTCTAGCTAGCATTAGTTTGATGAATATCACTAGGAAGGAAATAAAAAGCAAAACATAAATAAGCAAAAAACAGGCAAACAAAATAGGCAAGCTGCAAATTTAGGAAGATGATGTGTAATTTAAACATTAATTTTGAGTTCTTTTCTAATAAATGTATGTATCAGTTCTTTTCTAATACATTAAGGTATTGAGTGCCATACATTAATCTTAAAATACTGCTTTAGCAACCCTTGAAACATTCATTTTCTTATCATTCCATTTAAAATATCTTTTAATTTCCATCATGATTTAGTTTTGGTCCATCAGTTACTTAGAAGTATATTTCTTAATTTCCAAATATATATATCTCTATATATAATTTT